GAAAAAGCGGTTAATTGCTTAATTAAACACCGGTCTTTTGTCGGATCCACTGACGGAAGTAGGAGACGTCGGTGTAAACTCCCGGGAAGTTTGGTGTTCCGCATCCTCTACCCCACGATACCACTCCCGCTAGGTGTCCATCGACGAAGAGAGGACCACCAGAGTCCCCTTGGCAGGAGTCTTTGCCTCCGGCCATAACACCGGCGCAAATCTGTCCCTGAGGCACTCCACCTATGGTTTTGTAAGCGTTGTCGCATTGCTTCTTGGAGATCATGGGTACGGAGACCTTGTTGAGCACCACGGGTGTTCCCGAGTTGGTGTTTCCCCAGCCGGTGATCAAAGCGTATTTGCCGACGAGAGATGCGGAACTTCCCTGGTACAGGTTAGCCGCTTTCCTAGCGCTGTTGAATTGGAACGCGTCGGAGTCGACCAGACGAAGCAGAGCGATGTCGTTGATCGGGATACCTTTTTCCGTGGTCCCATAATTTTCGTGTCTAATTACTTGTTGAACACGGTGAACGCTGCCACCAGAATTCACGTTGGTCGAGCCAGAGCGTATACGGTAGGAGCTGGCGCCGTACGTAGTGCAATGGCCGGCTGTTAACACCCAATTCTTGGCGATTATGCTGGCCCCGCAGAAATGATGACCGGATACCTGCAGGCTCACTTGGTAGGGCGCCTGGTAGATGGTAGTTTCTTCACCGCCCACGATGCGACCGTCCATCTTTACCAGGACATCGTCCACGGTCTGGTTTACGGGGTTTCCTGCAATTGAAACGCTCTTGAACCCCTTGCGCGGCGATATTTGCGGTATAGCGTTTAGAACGAGAACGGCAGCTGAGTTGTTGGAAAGTTTACACGAATATTTCAAAACTTACCGGCCACTACGGCCACGAGGGCGAGGAACACGAGAAACTTTCCTAGAAACATCCTGAAAGTTTCTTCCGCTGTGGTCGATGCGTGATGTGTGATTTCAAGTTGTCTCGCCGGTCGGTATTTATAGTGAAAATCAGTGTAACGTTGTTAGACAATCTTCTAATCTCGAAATTAATCGGAAATCTTCTTCTCGAATCGATCGCTTTATCTATTCGGTCACTTTTTCGTCCGATATTAATAGCACTCGCTGCGGAGGAGGTCAAGAGACGCGTAGCTAAACTGTTATCGATGGCTTTTAATCTAGTTTTCGAGACAGACGAAGAGAGAGAGAGAGAGTGGGTGCTATCGATCAATCGGCGTGGAGGCCGTTCAATTATTACGCACGTGTCACCAACCGAGTCGAAAACGTCACCTCGGTTCTTCCCGTTTCAATTCCAATTCCTCCCTTCGCCTCTCGATTAATTTTCAATCCGTCGAAATGTACCGATCATACTTGAAGATTGTACGTCGATCGAATCGGACGTCGTTTAATTCTTCATTTCCGCGATCGAGAGCTACGATTAACGCCGCGGATTAGCTTCGATTGGTTCGTGATACCCTCAAGGTCGTTCCTTTATGCGAAATTTTTTATCGTCGTTACTGAACCACATTGATAAAAATAAAACAAAGTACACGCTTGCCGGACAGAAGACCCGTCGACGATAGTCGATAGTCGTGGTCTAACCATTCGAGCTACTTGACTCGCAGTTCAAAAAAAAACTTACATGCACCGTGTAATTCCTTTGAATTCGTTTCACGAAGGAAATTGATTTTTATGATAATCGCTCAATTATCAGCCGTGGGAATAAGATCGATAGAGACAGCTCTGATCCCGTGGAAGTAACTTTGAAAAATAGTGTAGGGACAGGGATCGGTATACGTAGTTGAATCGATCGTGGGGAATAATGGAGGACTGAAATGAAATCAATCCTGTATTTTTCTCGCGTTCCACGTATGTACATCTCCGGAGTGCTCATCGATAGAGAATAGAACGGTGGGAATTTTGCAAGTGAAAAATTTCTACCGAATTGCCACCTTTCAAAGAGGATTCCAGTTTCCTTTCCATAGAAAAGTTGATCTTTCTCGAATGGGATCACGACCGATCGCGATGAACGCGCACGCGGCTTGGAAGGTTCAACCGAGTGGAAAATATCGCGAGGTTTTAGTTGCGACGGTGAGCATCGCGTGTCGTTGAATGCGTGGAATCACGAGGGTTTTCTAAGCTGAGAATTAAAGTAGCGTCAAGCATCGAAGCTGGCCTCGTCGTTTTCCAGTTGCTGGAGACATTTTTCATCCTGCATTCTCTTTGTTTACGCGGTATTTGGATGTAAGTTTCTCAAGTCGGGAACGGAAATGGCATCTCCCATCGTTGTAGACGACGTTCTGTTTATTCTACAATTTTTCAGGAGAAGATTTTCGTTGTTGGGGCAAACTAGGGGGATGAAATTTTCGACAAAGAATGTATCGAGGCTCGTCTGGAATATTGGCTGCTCTTAGAATTCGTCGAACATTCTCTCGTTGCAAGCTCTATTCGCAATTTCCCGGAGGATGCGTGACGAGTGTCTCGAAGATCTCCTCGAACATGACAGATTCTGAACGTTCTGAACGTTCTTCTTGGAATATCTAATTCGAGTCTATAAGGGATAAAATTGTATTTTACATACGATCGTACGGCTCTCGGGTCTGAAGTGCGCGTTCAGTTTTCCACGGGTCAAGAAGACGCGTGGAACTGCATCCCGTTTACGCGTGTTACGTCGTGAACTCATCTTAAAATTCTAAATATTTAGATAGACGGGAAAGCACGATTGGTTCTATTCTAAGAAATGGGTCATCGTTGCTGCGATATATGCATGTAGGTAAAACACGACGGTGGCCTATTGTCGGTTGATTAATTATTTATCACGAACAAGCCCCATTAGTTTCTCGGTAACACTAACAAGAGCAGTTGTTTCCTTTTTTATCCTTGTAACGTGTACAGTGGCCGTCGTCTCGTGACGACAGAATTTTTTTTAATCTCTCAACTTCGAAACGTCGCTCTGTAAGAACACACCGCACCGGCCGGCTACCGTTGGGTAGAGCGGTAAATATTTGAATTAATCTTGAGCGATACTGTTGTCTGTTGCGCATTGCTCGTCGCTGTAAAACCATACCGAGTGAGGAGTTCGTCAGCTATTCAGGCTGGTGTGTATCTACGCGAGATTCTTTGAAGCAGGCAATTCAGTTAAAAATAAACCGGTTGTCTTTCTTATTATTAGCTGCAACGATATTTTCCAACGTTCGATCCTTGGCTCGCGTTCCTGTTTCATGAATGAAATTGGAGAAACCGTAACCTTCCTCTTCTCGTCTCTTTCTCTCTCTCTTTTTCTCCAAACGCAGCGGTAGGTATAATATATTAAATATACATATACCGTGATATAATTGAAATTGTCAGAATCCTGGGACTATTACGGGTAACGCGAATTTCCACGGGATTAACGGGAAAGTTTGTGTATCGGTTTTTAAAGCTGCTCGTTGGAAAGTTAGGCTTCTATATCAGGGGAACGCACGGGTGTACAGGGAGGATTTGAAGAGCAACAGTCACGAAGCTCTGTGCTCTACTCGATTGTGAGGAAAAGTTTTATCGAGAGCTGTCAGAGGGTGTGTGTGCCGGTGACGAAAGTCCGACTCTATTCTACCATCGAGTTTCCGGTCTATCAAAGACCACCGCGTACCACAGCGCTGCCGATTGAGAAGAAGCGGATAAATGTAGGGAGAGCCGGAAATTCCTAACGAAACAGGAGCTCCCTCCCTCTCTCTCCCTCTGTTCGACGTAGGAAAATTCCGTTAGAGATTCGAGGTATCCTGGCGTGTATAGGGAAAACAAGCTGTTGCTGCGAACGACAATAACGTTACACCGGTATATAGGGGAAAGATGGCCTCTTTGTGCGCGTGTCGGTTGGAAGGAAGAACATAAGTCGAACACGGTATTACCGCTCGACGACCTCGGTTGACCCGAAACGGAAGCTAAGGGGGGTGGTGGTAGCAGAGCTTGATTCTCTGTCTACCCCGTGACGTCAGTGGAGAGGTGGAAAAGAGGAGGAGGAGGTTGTTGCTGCGTATCGAAGAGATACCGACTGACCGACCCCATTTACCACCGCTTTTAGTTCGCCATCGCTTTGGCCCAGGAGTATCATCTCAGCTTCCATGGATACAGAGGGAGAGAAAGAATCTGCAGATTTTCTTCTTGTCTCGAGCAGATCCGGACTTGGTTATGAGAGTGGGGAGATGTGAAATATCAATCGGATAGGTTGTTTATCTCCGAAGGAATTTGAAATTCAGATGCAAAGTCGGTGCCATTATTCCGTTTAATTACCGATGCCGGCACGTGTGGCTGTGCCAACTCTTATTGGGATCGGGCGCGCTCGTCTCTCTCTCTCTCTCTCTCTCTCTCTCTCCCCGTTGTCGAGTTATTTCGGGAATGTACGAAGGACACTCGGCTAGATCACGAAAATACTGTCCCTGGGGTCAAGGCCGTCGATTTAATATGCATTCGGACCATTTATAATAACTGTAAATTCTAACCGTGTGTATGTCTGCGCTTGCGCGTAACAGAAACTTGTAGTTATTAACCACGGTAAATATCGGTAGCGTTCGTTAGAAAGAACGATCGCGTTGGAACCAGCGAGGATTTATCAGCGACGCAGCGGCAGCTACCTTTCATCTCGTAACTCTCGTATCTCGCGCAAAAAGCGAGAGAAGAGAAAAAAACATGTCCCGTTGGTTGAAACGACGATTTAAAGAAATTAACGCCGTTTACTGAAATTTCTTAAGGACCGATATTTTCCACAATTGTGAAATACGTTTGGGTTTATAATCGCTGGCATAATACACTCGTACTAATTACTAATTGCAACATTAATTGCATTCCGGGTTGAAATTAACGTCTCTAGAGCACTCGTATCGCAGGACACGCGTGGCAACGAATTTCACCCTGGCATTTCTCCAGTGTCCCCTGAAGGTGGCCAAAGGGGAGTTATCGTTCAAGTGTTTAACGACATATCGATCGTGTTAGATGTAAATGATTCTTGATCGTCGATAACGATCCGTACGCGCTCAGACAAGAAATTAATGAAAATTGTCTGGCGATAAGGTGACATCACTTGGCAAACTCGAAACGATTAGAACGTTGTATTCTAAGATTCATTTTCTGTTGGTGAACGTAACGGGCGAAAAGTTTCTCTTAAAATAGACGCGGAGCTTGAAGTAACGCGAATACAATATGCGCGTGTATATCGAAGCAGTTTTCGATAGAAAACTTCATATCCGCCTACCTCATCCGCATTTCCGAATGTCGATTCTTTCGCAACCACCTCCTTGGGAGTTTTTAATACTTGGAACAGTCGCTGGTTCTTCATGCCCTTCCAAGTTCGACCTTTCATGCGAATCGGTTGCGCAGACGAAAACCAGCGAGCCGATATTCTTCCGATACGCCTACCTTCTATTCCTATTCTCCTCGTCGTATATTCGTTTCTTCGTTCTCGCGAGTATTTATCAATTAAGGAAACTTGAACGCTCGAAAGCCCGAGCACTGGTTAGTTTCTAGTAGAGGAGATGAAGCTGTTTCGAGCTTAATTCACGCGATGTTTTTGCATTAAAAGCGAAATGTTCTCATGTGCATACACGCGTATGTACAATATGCATATGCTCGTATATAATTGTCCTACTTTACCGGAATACGGTTTACGGCATAAGGCAAAAGAGGGCACGTAACTACGTAGGACAATTATAGGGATAATGGAACATGTCCTCGTCCTTCTAGTGTCGTCGTCGTCGTCTACTACGCGATGTCTACTTTTAGCGAACCAGTCATTTTTGAAGAAGCGCAGATAAAAGAGGAGACCAAGGTTTTTTCGAGTGGGTTATTAACCCTGTTTCGCTTCATTCAACTTCTACGCCTATCCCTTATCACTCTAAATTCGCATTCGTACGCTAGTTTATTTCGACGCTTTGAACAGACTCGAGCCATTTTCCGGCCAATTTCTACGGACGGTTTGCAAGCGAGCAATTGGTAGGAACAGGTTGAAAATGTCTGACTAGTAAGGGAACGTACTACTGTGTCACGGCACCGAATTTATTGCACGATCTTCTCGTAAAAATCGACGTAGGTGATTAACCTAGAGTTAACGCAAATCGTACGCACACACAGGAACAACGCGAATATTTCGTATCGAGATAGAACTCGTTACGGACGATTATTACGACGTTCGGAGAAGAAGATGGTTCGGCTGAAATGAAGTGTAGAAAGCGAGGATAACGGTGTTTGACGGGGATGTTGGAGGCACGAGAATATCTCGGGGTCTCGATGTCTCTCCGTTGCAATATCGGTTCATACAATCGAGTGGGCACTCGAGGTACTTGTCAGGGATGGATGGAAGCTCCCCTCGATAAAATATATGCGGAAGAACGAGCCTTAAGTACGACACGAAGGTCCAACCGACCATAAATTACGAAGCGTTCAAGCTCGTTCCTTAACGAGAAATTTTCCCTTTAATTAAACAGAGGAACTAAACCTTTCGGAATCTGGTGTTCCGTTAACGATTGACGATTACGAAAGATAATGTCGATCGAAATTTCTAAACGTTTCGTAGAGATATCGTAATATGTAATCGGCGTGGTTATATTTATGTACATACTTAGATTCATATGTACGACTGCGTTTCAACGAATACACTCGCTAGACACGTGGACGATTATCGATCGTTGATTATTATGAGACGATTAGACCGAATTTTGTTACCGATGTAAGCGATGCGTGTCAACGGTGTCGCAGTTAAAAAAGAAACAATGATCAATCGATAGACTTTAATACGACGCAATTGATAGCCTTCTAAGATTGGATTCAGACTGTATTGATATCGATATAAGACGACTTGGAGATGAAATCTCGCAGTCTCGAGGGCCTTTTTCGTATATTTGATACTCGTTTCGATAACGCGAAGAAACTCACGTCACCGGAGGAGATTCGTCGATACTACGTTCCTGCCAATATAAATCCTACCTATGTTTACTCGCAAACTTTTCAAAACAACGTCATTTTTATTAACTGTTTCAACGTTGTTTCGGCATGTACAGAAAGTACATGTTTCGTTGGAATCGTTTTTAAACGGGTGAAAGTTAGGAATTAGAATAGAAAATGTAGAGGGAAACGTGTAACGTCTAAAGACAAATCTGTAACGTATTTTCCACACCGATGATCCACTTTCACTCGAGCCGGGAATCGAGTTTAATCATCGATCATCCGTTATCGCGATGTGTCTTGAAATTATAGCCGGTTGTTTGTTCGCGATCGTGTGTTGGTACGATGCATTTTTCAGTGGATTTGATCAGGTCAGAATAATCGTAAGAAACGGCTCGGCTCGTGCAGATATAGAACGAAGCGGTAAGTTGGTCGAAGTTCTTTCATGCGGTGAATCGAGGTGAATCGTGCGCGGAAGTTGATAAAAGTTAGTCGGACAATGGGCAATAGGGGCCGGTAGACAGCTCGTACACAGGACCCTAGCTGTCCTGTTCTAAAATTATCATACCAATGGAATTTCTTCGGCGATAAACGGCTGTATCCGTCGTGGAGAGAAGAAGAAGAAAAACGTGGGACATGTTTTAGTAGTGCAGGTCTAGCCGATAACGAGAGCTAGTCCAGCTAAAGTCAAACAGGTGCGATCGTTCTCACGTATAGTAGGTTTGATCAGTGTCGTAGATGACGATTTCCTTGAATCCATCGCTGATAATTCGATTAATATTTCATAAGTGTGTGTGTGGAAACTTTGTCGTTGGAATTATTCGTAAACGTCGATCACCGGTGCAATACCTTAAGCAACTGCGTACTTGGAAGCGGTGGACGTTTATGTAGAGACAGAGGGACGTCGAGGTTAATTGGCAGTCTTGAGAGTCCCAGAAAAGTTCCATCGAGCTTGTTCGTGTATCGAGAGGCAGCTCGTTCGACTCTTGTAAAGTTCATGAATACGAGTTGGTGAATTCCGGTCGGAGTAGTAGCTAGAGCCAGGTTGAAAACGAGTTCGCGTTGCAAAATATCTTCTCAAATGTTTTCTCGCGCGTGCTTCCCTCGCAATACCAGTTTTATTACAATAGTTTCTTTTTAAGGTATTATCACGATCGTAATGCCTCAAGGTCAGGGTAAATTACTTCCTTCCTCCCCATTTCTCCCCCTCTTATCGATGCAAACTCTCTTACTCGCTGCACCACTCTGCTGCGTACGACCGTACTGTACGAGTCGCGTCGTTTCGAAGAGCACGCGAAATATTTGTCAGATACTGTCGTCGCGGTGCACTTTCCGATGGAATTTTTCCCTCGCGGTAGGAAACGGATGGAAAGATAATATTTTTCGTTTCCTCGAACTTTGTTGACAATGCGGCGTGCCCGAGGGATTACAAGTCGCGTTATATTCTTCAGCTTTAGCGCGACGATGTGCGTGCACGTACCTTTACCTATACTCGTCTCTCGTCACCAAGAAACGGTGCCAAGGTACAAAATTGTCGCAGCGTGCGTACACGTATAACGTGTGCAACGCGCCACTTGATATATTCCTACCGATCTTCCTCTATGCTAAAACTACAGGATCCCTCTACCTACATATGTACATCTGAAGTTTTCACGAATTTACGAATGCTTTTTCAACAGCGTTATTCTAGTTATTACGAAAAAGGGACGCCTACGCAAAAACAGCATGCTCGATCGATAAAGAAAGAGAGAGAGAGAGAGAGCTGGCTGTCGGATATTGCCAGTTGTTGACGGTTCTCCTTGCCACCGCATAATTTCATCGATTTCCGCGCGTTATCGGTATTGTTCCTCGCGATAATTCCACGTATCCGTCGTAAATCTGCGTCAACAATATCCTCGAGAAACGATAGCTTTATCATCTTAGCATCGCGACGACGTATTATTCGTTTCCCTTTCATTCACCAATCTTCCGCGCGATAGACGGTCGAGACACGGAGTCGCCTTACAAGCGACAATTGTTGTCACATTTTTCCACGGAAAAGTTGCAGAAAAGATTACGCTATACCTCCGTAATTTTCCCAGAAATACGTGTACACGTTACTTTATTCCTGACACGTTAACCTTATTTCGCTGCGAGCCAGTGACACGAACCGATTCGGTATTTTTAAAAGCGTGCTCCAGCAGCAGGTTTACACGCGAACGATTAACCAGAACCTTGTAAAACCTTGTGGAACCTCTTTCTTCGTGACGTGCGTTATGATAGGGACGAGGATAGATTAACGAGGGCTGTACACATGAATTTCTTAGGGTACGTACGTAGGTAGATCAGACAACGGTAAACCAGCCGGGTCGTTTCGCCTTATCAACACATATGGTTCTGTTACACGCGACGTGTTTCCTACGTGGACACGTTAGGCCGACGTTAATGCACCACGCCGCGTTTCATGGCGACGCTGCCCTGTCGTTTCTCGTTTAATATTCACGTGCTTGTCACACGAGCTACGTGCGTTTTATGCGCGTCCCAACCTTTTAATCCAGCCGATAAACATATTTTCACCTATCCCGTCGTTCACCGATTAATATCACAATAGGTGCGCAAGAACGGGATACTCGATGTGAAACGCGTGGCAACGCGTGACCTCGATGGCGTTCAATCCTCGCCGCCAAGTCAGGATTTATCCCAAGGGGAGGGGGAGAGGCATCGATCCACTCGTTTCTAACATTTAACGTGGAGCTTTGGGAGAGTGGCTTCCGAGTGATTTAAAGTAACGAAAGAACTTTGGGAATATTTCTGTTCTCCGTTCCAAAGGGGATGGAGTAGTTGGCTGGAACTTGGAGAGGAACCTAAAAGTGTCCTGTTTTTCTTTCACCTGGCTTCCTTCCCTCGAACAAGAGACCTCCTGCTCCGCGAAGTAATTATTCAGCAAGAATTGTTCTAGCTTTCTGCTGAAAAAAAAAAAGAAAGAAGCAGGTTGTTCGTTCGAGATGCTTCTTCGGAAAAACATAACTATATAGCTAGCATGGTTTAGTACAGAGTATGCACGAATCGGGCCACGGGGCCAAGGTTGAACGTTGGTTGTTACTAACGTTGCTGGCAACACCCCGATAGTTGGTCAGCGGCAATTCCGAGAAAGCTGGCGCGACTTAGCGTCGCGATGCTCTAAGATCGTACCAACTCTGTATGTGTGCGCGTGTGTCTACCTACCAGCACGACAAATCTGTAGACCGCCGATCTACCGTTTTCCTATTTTCTCCGTTATTATTACAAATATCGGTCGCACGCAGGCTGGGATAGAATCGCTGGGAACGGTGTATACCGACGTTTGACCGATTATCGCCGATCTTTTCCACTCCGAGCAGGAAACAAGCGACAGACCAACAGTCGGCTGACTAATGAAATCAGTTTCCAATCGCTCGGCTACGTTACTTTACTCGCGAAGATACGATTGTACCCCAGTCTGTACGGGACTTGACGCATCAGGCTGTATAAACGAAAGGTGTTACATCGTGGGACGATTAATCCACGCTCGGTGTAACCCGTGAAAATTTCAAGTACCCTCGAAGATCTAACCCGTTATACATAATATACATGTACATGTATATGTTTACAGATGGCAGTTGCGAATGCTGGTCGACGTTGAACACGACACGAGCCACTGAGGGGATCTTTTGCTCGAGGAAGCGAACGAGAAGCGGCGAGAAGGAAGATGAGAGTCCGCGAAAGTTGAAGTAAAAACCTGCACAACGAACAGCAACAGCCTGCCTCGTCCATTGCGACCAGCCACATATCTCACGTTAAGGTGAGCTCTACTTGTACATTCTATCTCTTGGTTGACGAGAGAAAAAAATTAAATATACTTCCAAGTTATCATTCGCGACATTCCCCGGGAGATTCTGTTCGATTTTTCGTTGCGCGGAAAAAAGAAGCTAGGAGAGGAATCGAGGAGGAGAATTCCACCGCAAACGAAAAATCGAAGCGTACAAGACGTTCCACGGGAGACGTGACTTGAAATATTCAGTTCGATTGGTGTCTGGATTTTCAAGATTTACCATAGACCGTGTACGAAACATTCTTAACGGAAAACAGGATAATCGAGTCTGAAAGTTCCAGTCCCGAGGAAAATTATATTTGATCCGGTGGAAAGACTTGGATTAGATGGATCGATTCTACGTAGAAAAGAATTGTAGATCCTTGTAAGAATCTCGGTTCTAGAGCCATATTTCTTTTCTATCGTTTCATCCCGCGGTCCGTAAAGTTGGCGTGGAAGTTTCCGGGCCCTAGACTTGCCAACTTATTGGCAAGTTGTTCAGAAGTTGCACCTGCGATCGAGCTATTCCCTCGTATTATGAAATGAAATCAATCGATGCTCGATTTGATTCATTGCTTCCACGGTGTGTTACGTGCGTTGAACGGCGGGGAGTGGAGAAAATCGATCTGAAAGCGATTGTTGGAAAATTAACGCTACGATGTTCCCCGTCTTGTCTATCTGAAATTTAAAGCACGCTAACGGAAAAATATCGAAGCTGTTCTTCTCCTTGAGACCGAGAATAGTATGTACGTAGGTATAAAAAGTTTGTCGCATTTAGTGGAAGGTGTCGTGACGAAAAGAACAGGCCGAACGAGGAGACATTTATCGCGTAAAGAATTCAAGGAATAACTGGTTAAGTGGTTCACGGTGAAATTGCAGCGACCCGCTTTCGAGAAGCTTAAATCTCGTCCTTAACCTAGCTAGTTGATTCAGCACCTTCACCTTTGCGTGATGTTATCGACTTGCTCGAGCCTGGCAAAATAGGGGATTCCGTGTTTAAGCGGATCGGCGAAAGTCGTCGATAAAATCCATCGTCCTGCACGCTGCTCTTCACAATCGAGAATTTCCCGGAGAATAGAGGTGGGGGGAGGGGGGGGGCAAAGGTGTATCGTAAAATTGTGAAAATATGTTTAGCAGCGTGTACCGCGATAATGGCCAACCTTTTTCCGCATCTTGTCTGCAACGGTGTTCTATAAATTGGCGGTAACGGCGGAGAAAGAGAGGAAGCTAACGCGCAGAATCTTGGAATTGTTCGATTGGTCGAAAGGAAAGTCGAAAAAGCAGGTGAAGTATGTTGAAATCTATCCGGGGAATTTGCAGGGAGATAAAGGGAGACGCGTTGTTTGCGCGGCGCGGCGCGCCGTCTCGTTAGAAGGGGCAGAGAGAAACATCATTGGTCGTTCCTTAATTACAGGAATTGAACGAAAGCTATCGTAGAAATTGTGTTACTCAAAATATTACACGTCTGTCCTAGATCGAGGGCGACGTGCCGGTAGGGTGTGGGTGGCGCTGGCGCCCTCGTGTCTGCTGTTCTAGATACTGTGTCTCTCCCGTTAATTTACAAACCGCGAATCCTTCACCGCGCATAGATCCTTTGGCGAAATCTAGCCAGAATCGATATTGCCGAACGATCGCGATCCATTTCCAAAGGGGCACACAATTCTGCCGACATAAGCAAACGGCCAAAGAGGAAGAGGAAAAGGAAGAAAATCTCGTCGCGTAGTCGAGAGAATGACCAGGGTGAGTAAGAGAGAGTGAGAGAGGGCATCTGACGCGTCGCTCTCGACGAGAGAAATAAACTCGACGTTTATTCAGTGGGTAAAATCAGGAGGAAAAGCACGGAGCAATCGAGAGTGTGCCTAAGTACGTCGGGATGTGCGCGCGAAAGAGAATTTCGCGGTAGAGTCCCGTGGGTAGGAAAACAGGGTGTCGCGTCGCGGCGCTGCGTACGAAAGATATCCTGCAACGGGCAAAGGAAATGGTG